TAGCAACATCTTTGTAATCCTTAATTTCTTTTGATCCTTAGTAAAGACTTTTGATTAATTTCCTTCCAGCCATATTAGCTGTTTTAATTAATTCTAATTTACCAGAAACACGATTTCCAACAGCATAAATGTTTAGAGAATTTGTTTAATCATATTTATCTACAATAATTTTTTTAATCCGAATCAACCTAAATTCCAACATATTCTAATACTAATTTTTCTTTATTAGCCTATCTCGAAATAGCCATCAAAATAGCATCAAATTTCTCTGAATTCTCTTTTCTTTACTTCACATACCAAGTAACAGTTTTACCTTCTATTTCGAAGTGTACATCTGTGATGAAATTTTATTCCTTGTTCTATCAATATTATTCAAAAAATTTTGCATATTGTTCATCTATTCTTGTTAATAATTTATTTCTAACAAGTACTTATTTATTATATTCCTCATGTTTATCCATTAGGAAAAGGAACAACAAAATCTGCTACAGCAACCTTTTTCCTTTATTAGGCTGCTATTTTACTATTTGATAGACCCCCTGAACCTCCTCCTATTACAAAAAGATCATATCAATTTTCAGAGAAATTTATAATTATTATACATTTATGAAACTTAAAATAAAATATTGTAAAAAATTTAGATTTAAAAGTGATTCATAATTATAAATAATTGATCAAAATATGAATATTTTTATATTAATAAATAATAATTAAATGAATATTTAAAAAAATCATCAACCACCTTTCAATCTTAAAGCTAATAAGAGAGTTGCTTCAATTCGAATATTATAATCTTCAACTGTTTTTCCATCTTCTAATTACTTTCATCCAAAAAAAAGTCTTTATTAATCAGGTGGTATTCCTAATTTTTCCATAATTTTAAATTTAATTTCCTCAATAGTAGAAGCATAGAAAAAATTAATCGTTATGATTTTTCCAGAAAAAGTCTTAACGAAAAATAAACCACCTCCGCGTTTCAATTTTAATTAGAGAATAGATTCTTCCATAATATTATAATCTGAAATTGTTCTATCATCTTCTAAAGTCATTTTTTTAAAAAGTAATCTTTATTAATCAGTTGAGATT